CCCCAAAACCCTCTCCATCATGGCAAGATGCTCCAAGTTCTCATGCGTTTGAAATAGGGCCTCACCCTGTTGAAAAACAATGCAAATGTCAGCAAAATATTATGCACCCCCTACGCAACGCAAGTTCAATTGTAACTTTAAGTGAAAATGACTCAATTTTAGATGGGCCCATATAAACTCAATGGTACTTACAGAGCAAAGTTCAACAAGTATGCAACCCACACTCCAGATATCACACGGATAGTTCCATCCAAGACCTACATATAACATCAGATGACTGTTATCTAAAATGCAAACCCAAGATGTCACTTGAGTAGCCTAGAATTGTATTTACCCAAAATAACCTCCGGTGCACGATAATGGCGTGTTGACACCACATAGCTGTGATCCTGATGTTCAAATGTTGTACTCCCAAAATCAATGAGCTTAATGGCACTTGACTTGGGCAGATTCTTGAAATAGGAACCCTCTTTAGTCGACCGTGATAGAAACTTGATTCCAGTTAAAAAAAGAAAAGGGTGAAGTGTCAGGACTTTGAGCTTTACTAATTACCTCAATAAAAAAACACAAGATCTGAAGATGGCTTGAGTAAAAAAATTGAAACCTAAACTGATGCTGTATCAAATTGCTGGACATCTTAGACTAAGTCTAAAAATTAAGAACTGTGGAATGAAACAGAAAATGCTGTTGCAAATCCGTGCATGAGGGATACATTAGACTGTAATGAGGCACAAAATAATCAAACACATAACAAAACCCACAACATTGTTGAATCAGATAACCCATATGCCCTCTCCAAGGTCTGCTTGAGTGTGTATGCACAAACACATAAGATGCTAAGAGACCAAAAGCATGATTCAGTAAACAATACCTTATAGTCTGGCACTTTGATGTAGTCAGATGAAACAAGCAGAATATTTTCTGGCTTCAGATCAGTATGTATAAGGCGTAAATCATGCATAACTGCAAAGATAAACCAGCAGACAAGTCAAAAAGCAGGGAATTAACTGCCATTATTATCATCAACTACATGCTATACATACAATAATTATGTTCTCCTTATAATATTGGAGATGGAAATAAATATCATGCCATGAAGGCCAGAATTCAGCTTTACGCTTAAAACAGTTTGAGCATCAAGTTGAATGAATTTAGATAAAATGGTGCAAGAATTGTCCACACACATGCTACAGACTCCAAAAGTTGTCTGCCAAGCTCCCGAACAAGATCAATGGGAAATGAACGGTAGCTGTTTTTGCGAAGAAAATCGTATAAGCTAGGTCCAAGCTTCTCAAATACCTGTTGAAACCATTTAAATCCATCCGCAAGTTTTTTTAACTCACAGAAAATTCAGGCATGAAGGAACATATATTGCCCCTCTAAACTAATTAAATCAGAAGTACCAATAAATACTTACAATACAAATATGATTACGATAGTCAAACCAATTCCGTATTTGCACACAACTGCAAAGAATAAAACCACTTATACCAACATCGCAAACTTCTACCACCAATGAGAGAGACAGAAAATAAAGTATCCTTACCGAGTGCCACCAATATCATGCCTTCCAAGCCTTTGTAGGACATCAATTTCAATCATAGCAGCTTCACGATACTTATGTATGGAGCGGACAATTTTGATTGCCACAACCTCTTTCTTTTCATTGTCAATACACTCCAACACTTGCCCAAAAGTTCCTAGAAAAGTCATAGCCAAGATATTAAAATAATTCTGAGGAGTTGAAAAGAGATATGCACCCCTTCTAGCTGAAGGTGAACTTTACTCCCAAAAAAGCAAGAATACCAACCCTCTCCCATTTTGCTGAGAATTCTGTCTGCAAGTATGATAAGCAAAAGGTATCAATTAGTGAACAAATAATAAGCATAAATGATAACAAGGAGTCAATCCATAAATAATGAACATAAAAATTGAATACCAAGATCTAATGCATGATTCTATACCGAACATAAATAATTAACATTACCAAATAACCACACATAGTTGCAAATATGAATGAATTAAGAGCCAAACAATCATGTCCATCCAAATCTGAACATGATGTACCTACTTACATAGAACAAGAGCTGCAATGGTTAGAGAAACTTACATCGAGGGGTTAAATTTTCTCCGATTCCGAACACGTAATGACCATCTTTATCATCAGGTCTCCACGGAGGGGAAGCATTGCGTGGCAACCCACCATAAAACATAGACGTATAGGTGTAATTGGGGATTGGCCCATTCCCAAACTCCTGCCCGCAGTAAATTGCTGGGAATAGCTGCATAACATATAAAGCATAATCAAATAATCAAATTACACATACATGTATATAATTCAAGAATAACGGTTTTATTCTGTCCCTAAAGCGCAAAAATTCAAGAAATCGTCAAGATTGAGACTTTCTACAAATCTATTCTGAACAATGAAACTTATGAATAAAAAAAAGCTGTTAACCATGAGAATTCAAAAAATTACAGAAAAAACAAAAAGTTTGGGAAATTGACCAGGGATTGTAAGTAGATAACAAAATTTG